AATCGAAAAATATCCATATTCTCTTACTCCGCAAGGGTTGGTTGTTATGCTGAGTTTAACATCGAAGACGATGAAACTCTGAAAGATATTTTGAGGACTCTGGATGAACACCGGGAACTTCTTGTGATAAAAATGCTGGAAATGTATGTCAAGTCTGAAGACGTTCGCAATATTGAGGTTCTGCAAAATAAGGATAAACCTCTATATCGGGTGGTATTTTTGAAGCAGTTTTATCCTAACAGGTTCCATTTGAAAGAGTTTGGCCAGATCTAAACATATCTCTGCAGGAGAATGAGGAGCGATTACATAATTTCTCCCCAAGTTTACATAATCCACACGCCGAGTGGTAAATTTCAATTTTCTATTGTATTAGTATGTTTTTTTTATGTATCATATTTGTATTAACACTCATATATTCCAAAGGGGGTACCAGATAGATATGAATTTTACAAGTTATGAACCAATGGACAGTTGGAATATGCCCAATTTTGGTGTTTTGGATCATGGTGGTCCATCTGGGAGTCATCAGCAACTCGATAATGTGCATCATGGGATATCAATAGATTATGAGTTGTAAGTTAAGAGATAAAGTTTATATATAATGTTAGGATAAATTTGAGAAACTCATTATTTTATTGGTTGTACAGTGAACACGAGCAACTAGAAGGTCATGTCCTTTGTCATTTGCCAGAAGACGATATATATAATTAGGATCTGGCAGATGCACAGAGTCAGGAAGATGATAGTGATTATGACAACAATGCTAATGAGTCTGGAGATGACACACCCTTCCTTGATGAGGGCGATGATGATGAGGAAACGCGCTTTGCTAATGAGAATGAGAATGAGCAGCCTGATTTGTCGAGGGAGCATGATGCCACCAATGAGCATGCTCCATATATGCAGACTGCACCTCCCGTTAGACCCAGAGTGTATGAGTCACATGTGCCCTTTCATCCAAGGGTGATTCCCTACCTTGATCAGATGCCCAGTATGACGGATAAGGATGCCCTCACATGGGATCTTGATGACATTCATATAGCAATGTGGGATGAATCTAGACCAACAGTGTTATCAAAGAATATGCTTTTTGCTGATAAAGCGCTCCTAAGTAGGGCGATGTGAATGTACAACACAAAAGAGTGTCGTGAAATCGAGGTTCATGAGTCATCTCTGGAAGTATACAAGGTTATTTGTCATAGATGGTTTCAAGGTTGTAGATGGATACTGCGTGCGAGAAAGTTGAAAACAAATATGTGGATTGTGGGGAAATACATTGGCACCCACACTTGTGATATGGACACATTCAGTGGAAATCATTTTAACTTGAATGTTGACTTGATTTTTCTTGTCTTGATTCCACACATTGAATCGTCCATAAGGTACAAAATTAAAGAGTGACATCTGTGCACCAGGTATATGGTTGTACCATTACCAAAATAAAGGCATTTCTCGGGCGTAAACGTGTGTTTGCGATTATTTATGGTAACTGGGATAAGTCCTTTGCCGTTCTACCCAGGTACACGACTGCTTTGCAACACTTTAGCCCCTAGACTATTGTTGAATGAAAGCTTGAGCGGAGTCCAGGAATACAAGAATTCATATTCAGATATATGTTCTGGGCATTTAAACCAACCATTGATGGTTTTGTGAATTGTCAGTCGGTAATATCCTTAGACGACACTCATGTCTATAGAAAGTATGATATTAAGTTGTTGATCTCCGTTGCAGTAGATGCTAATGGAAACATATTTTCCCTCGCATTTGCTATTTGATCCAATAAAAGTCAAGAGACTTGGACATTGTTTTTGAACCACTTGAAGGAGCACGTTGTCAGACAGCGTTCAGGTATTTGTCTAATATCTTATTGGCATGGTGGTATTTTAAGTTCTGCACACACTTTTGGGTGCATGGCAGGAACCGTATGCCTACCACTGTTACTGTGTTAGGAACTTGAAGGCCAACTTCCAGAGGGCTCATTCGAACAAGAGCCGCTCTGACAAGTGCTCTAGCAGTAGCATGTGCTCCTCCTCGGCCTCTGCTCCTCCTCGGCCTCTGCCTCTACCCCGACCTCTTGCAACACCGGCTCTGGGAGTAGCGTCGTCGGTAACTGTAGCTAGTGTCTTCACCATTTGTGAGAGAATAGAATGATAAAGGTTCAAAGTCCGAGATCAATAAACTCGCACGATAGGAATAAAGGAAGTGAAACTGTCCTAATAGTTCTGTAGCCTCTCGAAAATAAGTGCAGATGTCACTGTACTGATCCGCAAGACTCTACTAAACTCGCTTATGACTCGTAGCGCCTATGAACCTAGAGCTATGATACAAACTTATCACGACCCCAATTTCCCTCCATAGGATGTCGTGATGGCACCTAGTCTCTAAGACTAGGTAAGCCTAACACTTGCTAAATTAATAGAAGAATTCAACCATCAGCTGATAAATATGAAATAGAAATCTTTGAACACAACTCACAATCCCAAAACCGGTAGTACAAGTCATAAGCTCTGCTGAGTTTGCTAGAAAACTCCTAAATACAATAGTTCTAAATAAAAATTAAATAGTTTAAGCACAATATTAGAAGGTGACTCTGAGGCCTGTGAACGAGACGGCAGGCTTACCTTGAGTCTCCAGAGCAATGCTCGACCAGCTAGCTAATAATCAACAATATCTGAGGCACCTAGGTATGCACAAAAATGTGCAGAAGCGTAGTATGAGTACACCACAGCGGTACCCAGCAAGTATCAAGACTAACTTTGGTGGAGTAGTGACGAGGGACAGTCAAGACACCCACTAGACTAAACACCTGAACAAGTATAAATGTAGAACTAACAGGGAACAATATCGATATAAAGCTAGGCATGATGACAATAATAATAAAATGTTTGTAATAGGGACTAAGGCAACAGTTAGCAATGACACACAACATGTAATAACATTGTAGAGTAAGCTGAACACCGTTCAATCCGGTGAAACCAAATAAAGGAAAACAAGTTACAACTCAATATGAACAACTGCTTTCACACCAGGTTTACCCAAGAATTTTCACGAGGTACCAAACCTCAAAATCACAAATCACGGGTACCAATTCGTGAGCCCTAATCACTCGGCATCTTGTGCCCACATTACAATTCATAACAGCATGGACAACTCACGTACCAATAGAGTGACAATATCTAATATCCATACATACCACTCACGTATCAACAATAATCATGACTCATGACTGCACGTACAACTCACGTTCTAACAGGATAACTCTCACACATAAGGTATGTACACGGGAGTACATGTAAATGGTCAAAACATCGGGATTCATCTATTTAGATCGATATGGGTGATTTATTTACGTGTATGCTTGTGCAAATGTTCTACCACAAATTCAAGTCAACAAGTAAGAGTACAGACAAAATGGCACATAACAAACGATCACCACAAAATGTACAATGTAATAAAGACAGCAACGAAATTGAAACAAGGAATAGTACAATAAGATAAACTGCACAGAACTAAGAAATAATGCAAAATGGAGAAAGACAATTAATAGTATGCTAAGGAAACAACAATCAAAGACAAGTACAAAAGAGTGGGGAAATGTCAACAAGAGTCACTACCGAGGTATCGCCTCGTAGTCTCAAATCAGAAAATGAATCACAATCTTTCCTTATATCAACACGGGAGCCTTTACATTTAATTTTGAAAATCATTTTTCCCTAAATAGCATCCCACATTTTAGCCCACATTATCACTCTGCATGGCTTCTAGTACTTCCCCTACTAGACACGCATATCAAGCCCACCTTATCTCACCGTATGCATTTCAACACCAAGACCTTATACCACCGCATGCGTATCAGTAATAACAACAGCACGGCAGAAACCTTGTGCAAACATCATAACAATAGCATGGCAGTAACCTCATGCAAACATCATAACAAAGTACAGCAGAAACCTCGTGCAAACTTCATAACAATCCTCTCAACAATAACATGTCTTCCAAAACATAACAAGTCAACAAAATGACTTTCATAATATGTGGCCATATACCACAACATTTCCTCAAAACAATTTCAATATCACAACCACACATAGCCCTCGACTCAACAACACTGAATACAATGGCAACAACAATAAAAACATGAGGATATGGCAAGTAAATCAACTCAGGAACTTCAGAACACAAAGAAACGGTGGAATGAGCTAACAAGGAAAGACACAACAGAGAATAATTGTCTCAACAAGAATAGCTCAACAAGGAAGAGATAATGTGTAGCAATGATTCCACATAAGAATACATCAACAATGGAAGGAATAACAAACTTCAATTAAGGCTAAGCAACTACGGAAGAGATAATAGTAATTTCAATTAAGGTTAAGCAATTACAGAAGAGATAATAACAAATTCAATTAAGGCACATAACGGTTCAATTGGAAACAAGGGTAAAACATGTATCAAATAAATTCCAAATATGACACGTAAGGGTAAATTTAGTAAGTGGAGGATTTAGCATGATAAAACAATTTCATATCTAATGAACATAAGAACCTAAGGCCCTAAACGGTTAAATTTCCATAAATAAGCCCGAGCACGTACTTTTCACCCGGCATACACGGCCTTCACACGACACAGTTGGCACAAATGACTCAAATCCTAAGGGGTAGTTCCCTCGCACAAAGTTAGACAAGACACTTACCTAAAAGAAGTTAGATCTTTACTCTAAAATGACCTTCTCGAGTGAAACAACCTCAAGACGGCTCAAATCTAGGTAAAATAACTTCGGGCATGCTTTGTTTAGGTTTGTGAAGTCCACGCACATCCTTAATTTCCCGTTTTTATTTTTAACCATCACGACGTTGGCTATCCACGCTGTGGAACATTGTCTCTAGAGTCAACCCACCAGCGAGAACGGGGAGTGTAATTTCTCTCGATGTCCGTTAAACTACATTGTTAAACCCGGTTAGTATGATGCAATGTGGAACTATCTTATCCTCGAGCCTCATTTATGCGAGGACTCGAGGGTGGATGATGCACGCTCCACTTTTGTCATCTACTATGATTCCCTTAACATCAGTATCTAAAATTTGTAAATTAAAAACAAGTGCATCATTGTGAGGGAAAGTCAACCCATCGGCATCTAACTCGTCAAAGATGATACTTTCTTTGAGTCCTTCATACCATTCGTGGGTGATCAATATTTTGAGCATGTGGATGGAGGTGAACTTGAAGTCGTTGATGGAGGCATTATCGCTGCCACCAGTAATTATATTTATGGTACGAACTGGTGAAGGTGCTTTTGGCGGGCCTGGACGTTCTCGACCCCTTGCTAAGGTGTTCTTGCCTTTGTCGCTGAGTAGTTTTTTGAGGTGCCCTTGCTGTAGCAAGTTTGCTACCTCTAGCCGTAGGGAAATGCAATCTTCTATTTTGTGTCCGTAATCTTGGTGGAATTTGCAGAGAGCAACGGATTTCCTGGTGTTCGGATCAGACCTCATCTTTGGTGGTCATTTCACCCTTGTTATTTCGAGGGCGTAGACCACCTCTTTAGGTGGAACACAAAAATTGTGAGCAGATAATAAGGAGGGCACACATCTATCATTCCTGTGAGTTCCTCATCTCGGCCTACACGGCCATATTCATAACGAAAGGGCGGAAGACAGGGCATCCTGATGTAGGGCTGGTGTCGTTCCCTTCTTGGCCATGAGACTGGGTGATCTCTCCTCATATTATCTCTGCATTCTTTCCTGGGCTCGGATTGTACCGAGATGAGTCATCGAATTGGTCTATTGAGGTAGTCGTCGTCAGCTCTAACCTCGACATAGTAGGCATTATGGATTTCATCCCAAGTGGCCGGGGGATACTGTCATGCCCCAAAACCGAGGAGTGCGACTGGAGCTCAACCGAGTGAACCTGACCGAGCAAGCCTGTTAGATTTTATTCTACCCAAACTCATCCACGAATGGAGATAATACCTATTTTCATTAATTAGACAAAATGGTGTTCACGTCTACAATACCAATTCATTTCCAATAGCTTCATCATTTTTAATGTCTCAAATGGATAAATATTACAACCACAACATAACATATTTTGTCTTTCCCAGCACCAATACACAACCCACACTATGTCTACGGAGTCTCTATGGATAAAGAACAGTACAATGATAATGCCGGCAACAAGGCCCCCTACTATACCTCAAACAGAATACACAAAGAACAAAATATACATGACCCCGGGATGAAGTGAGGCTCACCAAGTCAGCAGGGAAGAAGGTGTACTGCTATCAAAGATCAATACCTCCTGCTATGGAACCACCTGCATCCATTTAAAGATGCAATGCACCTAGCAAAGGGACGTTAGTACCGTCGAATAGTACTAGTATGAAAACCAAACATCAATTTAAGAAAATGGATATACAATATGAATATGATGAATCAGGGCGACAATAGCATAATATAGATAACCGTTTAAACCAGAGCAAGCTTCTTAAGAGCTATCAATAACATTTATAGGATTTAAAATGAGATCCTCTGTAACCATCTTCAGACAAAGTGGCCCTGCTGCCTCACCCCAATGTATGCGGGTGGATGTATAACCACAGTATCAAGAACCTACTCAAAGCGGCTATGCCGCTTCACCCCAATGTATGCGGGTGGAAATGCATCAACGATACCAATAACAACACAAAGCGACTATGCCGCCTCACCCCAATATATGTGGGTGGAAGTGTATCACAATCACAATCTCTATACCATAATCCCCACACAAAGCGGTCATGCCACCTCACCCCAATATATGCGGGCGGTGGTGCCACAACAACACAATAACTATACACAAAGTGGTCGTACCGCCTCACCCCAATGTATGCGGGTGGAAATGCATCAACGATACCAATAACAACACAAAGCGACTATGCCGCCTCACCCCAATATATGTGGGTGGAAGTGTATCACAATCACAATCTCTATACCATAATCCCCACACAAAGCGGTCATGCCACCTCACCCCAATATATGCGGGCGGTGGTGCCACAACAACACAATAACTATACACAAAGTGGTCGTACCGCCTCACCCCAATGTATGCGGGTGGAGGTGCAGTCCCACAATACCATAATCCCCACACAACTTGGCATAATAACTTTCACATAAGTCACGACTTGAAATTATAACATGTGGATACACAATCCATAGTTTGGGACACATCCTCAATTTATAATGCAATCTGATAAGAGCATTTTAAACACGAATTGAACATATATCTTCATCAGAAAACTTATTGGAATACTTGATTTGAAATCAACATCTTGGAACTTACAAGGATAATGGGAATTCCAATCCTTCAAGAAGAGTTTAGCCAACATACCTTGCTTTGAGCTTTCCTTAAATTACTACAACGTTCTGAAAATTCTAGCAATCCCAATCTATTCTGAGACATAACAAAATTGAACCATTATTAGGAAGATATTCATGGTCTCAGCTCATTTGAGCATTTTATTTAACAATATATGTGCAAATTGGTTACAAGATTCTTCCACAAGGTTTCTTTCACTTCACAACCCAATCTTTACCCATTTGAGCTCAACAATCTCCCCATAAAACTTATTGGTACATGAACGTATAAATAATACTCTCACACCCAAGAATCATACTCCAAATCAACCATCTTTTACCCAAATTCGAAATTGAAAACTAGGGTATGGAACCTTACCTCTTAGATGAAGAACTTGAGGGATTTCTTGTTGGATTTCAAGGCTTGGACAAGATCTTGATGAACAAAGCACTTGAACTTCTTCTTCTCTCTAGAACACTCTCACTTCTCTCTAAAGATATCAGATTTTTGCTCCAAAATGAGCTTCAAGGGTTATTTATCGAAGTTGGGTCGGGTTATTATAATAGAAGAATGGATACCAGGCTGAAGCCTGTTCTTACACCTGGCCTTGCGAGCTCTGTAGCAAGCTACAGCCAGCCTTTGGGTATTTGATCATAACTTCTTGTAGGAATGTCCGAATGACAAACAGTTTAAAGCGTTAGAAACTAGACTCAAAGGGCTTTAATTGGATAGGTAGATCACCTCATAAGTCGTTATAATTTGGCATCTGCATACGTTTGAAGTAGGATCTTGTGCGAATTGAGACATCTTTTCCACTTTATGTATCCTACTTATTCCACACGAATTCTTTCCATTCACAAAACTCCTTAATATGTTTCAACATACCTTAAACATATACGTTTCATTTCGAAATAATGTGGTTCTATCCCATGGGTCTCCTTTAATACTCTAACACGTTATTCACAAATACTGTTAGCGTACTTTAAAATATTATGTTGTTAGAAAAAACATTTCCGGGGCCTTACATTCTCCCCCGCTTTGGATCATTCGTCCTCGAATGAGGAGTGGTGTCCGTCCCAAGCACTTAACATAATTTATTTATTTTCTCACAAACCTCAAGTCCCCAAATTGACTAACTCCCAAATTGTTTTTTCGAAATTTCGGAAGAGTCTCCCCTGTATTTGGGCCTAACCACCTGTCAGAATAACACCAAAACCACCCTAACAACACTTCCATAACTCGACAAAGCATAGCAATATATATCAACAACATTAATCTCAATATTACATACATCATATTATCGAGAGTGATATCTGGACATGAGCTGCACATATTTAAATCATAACACATATAAAGTGCCTTTCGATCCACAATCATTTGACTATACGCTCAAGTGAAAAAAAAAAATTATTTCCTTAACACTTTTGGACCTCAAGGTGGCCTCCTCGACTTATAGACTTCGTCATAACACATTAACGGAGGCAATCTCAACTCTCTAACTTATCTAACAAGGATGGCACATAAATGCCCCTCATAATCCAATTATCCATTAACTTCATCTTTACTAGATTTCATCGAAACGATAGACAAAGGGTTTACGACTACCTTAATAGACATAGACACATGATACACCGGGTACACGGAGAACAATAATAGGGAAACATCATACTCTTAGTTTGGCCTATTTCCTTCAAGATTTCATAAGGCCTAATGTGACTACACATACTTTACCTTCCTTAACAATTCACCCAATATATTCATAGAGAAAATCTTTAGAATAGCCCGTTCACTTTCTTCAACTCAAATCCCTACGCCAAACACCCAAACTAAACCTTTGGAGACCTCCAATAATCACTCTAAGATGTGCTAGTTTGAATATGACCATAAAACTTCCTATCCATTATATTTGATCACTGGATGATGATGCTTCTTTGACATGTTTAAGCCTTCAACCCCCACTAGTTTCTATAATTATGAACAACGAGTTTCAAGATTGGCTAAAATTATTCAAAAATCCATCAAGGTACTGAGCATGGCATTTCAGGAGGTTATATCCTAAGAGACATGAAGGTTACTATCAATAGTGCTGACATTGTTAATCATTGTGATGACATCATTGATTCGACACATGAGGTATAGAGTTTCCTAGAGACATAAATGATCATCTTGCCATATTTCATCATTAGTGGAACATCTATATCAGATTTCTCTTTCATATGACCTCCTAGGAATTGAGTTCTACAAAATTTTCCTTGATACAGTTACAATCTTATTAGTACTTGCAATTTTTTTTTTTCCAAATTTCCCAACAAAAGACATTACTAGGTCAGTTTTCTTATGGGACCATTTGTTTCAAATAAATAACATCTACTAGCTTGTGCGCACACCCTAATAACATCAACCTGCATGTCATTGCCTCAATATGTGAAGTAACATCGTTCTCATACCTTTCTTAGCCACCCTCTTTTCTCTTTATAAGTCTTATAGGATTTTAAGAAACCACTCTACTTCCTTCGTGAACATTCTCATGATCCCTCTTTACTGTGAAATACTTCCTAAAACACATATCAACACCCTTCATATATATTTACTTCAACAAAAATCATTAGCCCGAACATGGCCTTCTAAAACTTGAGATCCTCCTAAATTCTTCAACGACACCTTCTTGTTTTCCTTATAAGTGTAGGACTTAGTCCACCTGATTCCATCCTCGATGAGTAACTCACCTTATTCCCAGTATTGTAGTCATCAAAATGTTTCCTAGTATTGCAGTGTAAGAGCTATCATGTTAAACATGTTTGGTTCGTAACAAGTGTTCATCCTCTCTTAATCTGTTTCGAACATTTCCCCTTTGGTCTAGACAATATGTTGGTACTATATTTCCTTTGTTACTAGAGCATTCACTCCCATCCCATTTTTTCCTTAATTCATAGTTGACAACCTTATTGTGCCATACACGTGTTTGCCTACCATGAACTCGTAGTATCATTGTGCCTGGTTTGTTGAGTTTATCACACTACCACTTCATCACTAGTAGTCTCACTTTCCAATGTAATATGTAGACATGAACTCTCTCTATATCTTTTAGTTGATATCCAGTGTTTCTCAAGTTGACTGCATTACAGTTGATCCTGTATATCTTCTATTAATATTTGTGCTCTAG